ATGATGAAAGCTCGCTCAGGGCGGGTCTGTGTTGAAACGCTGCTGTCAATCAACAACCGTGGGAGGGACATCCGTTTTATTGACGTCACAAAAACGAACGGCTGAATTTGAGCCAGGGGAAAACATAGAAGGAGATTAAAATATAACACTGGATAGATTTGTATGATTATATGATGGTTGTGTACAGGCACTGCCAACACACATTTCAGTATCCACTTGAAAAGGTGCATGTACCATTAAATGACCCCTTTAAGGCTCTGAATATTCACTTTGCATAAAGTAAGAAGTAGCCTAACCCACAAATTCATACACAAACAAACAAACAAACGGAGGATTTGTGTTTAAAGAGATTTGTAATTCACCTAGGAGATCTTATGCACAGCTCAGGCTTTTGTGGAATTATATAACTAGATTATTCACATGGTAATTTGAGTCAAATTAAGAAATGACTTTGATTTCAAATTAATGAAAATAAAAATAAATTGAAATTAAGTTTATTTTTATACATCTCATGTCCTGATTGACCAAAGAATTGAAAAGAAGCCCTCAGAATGTTGTTCTTAATTGAGGGTTAGGGTTAGGGTATGGAAAAACACCATATCTATTTCTGATAATACTGTCTTCAAAATCGTTTTGTTTGCACGTTACCTCAGTAGTATAAAGAATAAAGTTGTGTTTTTAAGTGCAACGCTGCTTTGTTCTCTAATAACCTGAGAAACTGCTATAGCCTATTTCTGCTGTTCCATAAACGCCACCTGTCAGAGAGTGAATTTGCATTTTCATTGTATGCGGTTTTTGTTCAACCCAATGAAAAAACTGGACTAAAAGTTATATACAGTAACGTGTTCCAAAAATGTACACAATTTGGATAATGAGGTGATATATATAAATATATATATATATATATATATATATATATATATATATACACAGTATATACACGGTATAATTTTGTATCAAATGTTTAAGACTTTTATTTTGTTTTCTGTTTTTACAGCCTCACATAAACAACAGAACAATACAACATAAACAGAGAACATACGAAGAGTTCAGATGCAAAAGCCTCTAAATGCCATTTGAAATTTTCTTCTTTAATGATGATTTTTATCAAACTTGTATATTTATGTTCAGTAATTTCACTTAAATAACAATTAATAGGTAATTATCATTGCCATTTAAGTGAAATTACTGAACTTAAATATACAAGTTTGATAAAAATCATCATTAAAGAAGAAAATTTCAAATGGCATTTAGAGGCTTTTGCATCTGAACTCTTCATACACATCAATATAGGCCTACTAATTTATCTGAACAAGTAAGCATTGACTGTAGACAAGGACAAATCTATAGCGCAAAGCACAAAACAGTCGATTTGTTTTTGGCACAACTGGAACCTAATACACTAAGATATCAGAGAAACAAATCAGCATCTCACCAGTCCCTTTCATTAATATTTTATGATTTAAATTGTTTGTATTAGGCTTATTAGGCCTCTGAGCAAATTATACAGCACAGCCTCATACCTTAATAAAGTTTAGCATGAACACTTAATTCATATAAGGACCCCTGGTCATCTCTAAATTGTGTCTTCAGGGATATTTTCTTTACTCCTTTTATCTGGGATTTGCTCTCCCTCGTTTGATGGTGTTTGGTGATGCAGCTTTTGTTCTTTTTCTCTTTGGTCTGGAGGAGAGTCTTATCCAGTGCTTATCACACAAATTTATTCTCTGCATTTCGGCCCATTTTCAGCATAAACAACTTCAAAGTATCATTTGGCGATATGAAATCCTAGCTTCCCTTATCTCTATACAACACTGATGCTTCTTTTGAACTTTTAGCTCGGATGTTGAGACATTGTTGAGAGTGATGACGAGACGATAACATTTGGCAGATTCGCTGTGTTCTCATAAAGCAAATAGTGTTGGGGTTCCTATTAATTTCCCCATTCGTTAAAAAAAAAAAAAAAATTAATTGGCATTTACCTCGCTATAAAGACAAATAAGACAAAGGACACACAATGGATATGGCATTTTTACTTTTTATGGTTCTTTTTATGAGGAAAACCATGTAATTGTTAGATTTTCTGAGACATTTTCATCAATAAATATTACAGTTCAGAAGAGGACACATTGTGGACACACCAGGACAGCAAGACAGCGGTGTATTGAGAGCTTACAACACTTACTTTAGAACGAAGTAACACAGTCTATATGACGTCTTGGGACGTACGTCTTTTGACCATACGTCAACATCCGCCTTTTCAACATCAAGGCAGTCCTTATGGTGCTTGATGGGAGCGTCACTGCCAAGGCCCACTGAGCCATTCTGGAAACCCTGGTTCAAACATTGTACCCTGAAGGGACTGCCGCCTATCAGCATGATAACGCATCAATACAGAATGCTTTGATAAACATGAATGTGAAGTTGAGCATCTCCTATGGCCTACACAGTCACCAGATCTAAATGTTTTTGATCCACTTCAGGGTATTTTGAAGGAACAAGCCAGAAAATGTTTTTCTCCACCAGCATCACATGGTTCACAACAGTAACCTGGTTACTTTTCTGGCTAAAAAACCCTCTAGCCACTGTGCAGGACTTGTCTCTGTCATTCCCAAGACAAATTGATGCGGTATTGGCTGAAATAAAGGCCCTACACCACACTAATAAATTATTGAGGTCTAAAACCAGGTGTTTCAGTTTCACTATCCCATTGTTGAAGTAACTATTATTGTGACATACGGTGTATGGTACGCAGGCACCCCCTAATGGTTAAACCAAGAACCTCTTAAAGCCATATTCTATCTATCTATCTATCTATCTATCTATCTATCTATCTATCTATCTATCTATCTATCTATCTATCTATCTATCTATCTATCTATCTACCATCAAAACATCAAAATGACTTCGTTATTACACCCAAGAACAGAACACCACAATCGATTAGACGCCATTCTGCTCCAGCGTATCAATAATGACGGTCTATGATGAAAGCTCGCTCAGGGCGGGTCTGTGTTGAAACGCTGCTGTCAATCAACAACCGTGGGAGGGACATCCGTTTTATTGACGTCACAAAAACGAACGGCTGAATTTGAGCCAGGGGAAAACATAGAAGGAGATTAAAATATAACACTGGATAGATTTGTATGATTATATGATGGTTGTGTACAGGCACTGCCAACACACATTTCAGTATCCACTTGAAAAGGTGCATGTACCATTAAATGACCCCTTTAAGGCTCTGAATATTCACTTTGCATAAAGTAAGAAGTAGCCTAACCCACAAATTCATACACAAACAAACAAACAAACGGAGGATTTGTGTTTAAAGAGATTTGTAATTCACCTAGGAGATCTTATGCACAGCTCAGGCTTTTGTGGAATTATATAACTAGATTATTCACATGGTAATTTGAGTCAAATTAAGAAATGACTTTGATTTCAAATTAATGAAAATAAAAATAAATTGAAATTAAGTTTATTTTTAATACATCTCATGTCCTGATTGACCAAAGAATTGAAAAGAAGCCCTCAGAATGTTGTTCTTAATTGAGGGTTAGGGTTAGGGTATGGAAAAACACCATATCTATTTCTGATAATACTGTCTTCAAAATCGTTTTGTTTGCACGTTACCTCAGTAGTATAAAGAATAAAGTTGTGTTTTTAAGTGCAACGCTGCTTTGTTCTCTAATAACCTGAGAAACTGCTATAGCCTATTTCTGCTGTTCCATAAACGCCACCTGTCAGAGAGTGAATTTGCATTTTCATTGTATGCGGTTTTTGTTCAACCCAATGAAAAAACTGGACTAAAAGTTATATACAGTAACGTGTTCCAAAAATGTACACAATTTGGATAATGAGGTGATATATATAAATATATATATATATATATATATATATATATATATATATACACAGTATATACACGGTATAATTTTGTATCAAATGTTTAAGACTTTTATTTTGTTTTCTGTTTTTACAGCCTCACATAAACAACAGAACAATACAACATAAACAGAGAACATACGAAGAGTTCAGATGCAAAAGCCTCTAAATGCCATTTGAAATTTTCTTCTTTAATGATGATTTTTATCAAACTTGTATATTTATGTTCAGTAATTTCACTTAAATAACAATTAATAGGTAATTATCATTGCCATTTAAGTGAAATTACTGAACTTAAATATACAAGTTTGATAAAAATCATCATTAAAGAAGAAAATTTCAAATGGCATTTAGAGGCTTTTGCATCTGAACTCTTCATACACATCAATATAGGCCTACTAATTTATCTGAACAAGTAAGCATTGACTGTAGACAAGGACAAATCTATAGCGCAAAGCACAAAACAGTCGATTTGTTTTTGGCACAACTGGAACCTAATACACTAAGATATCAGAGAAACAAATCAGCATCTCACCAGTCCCTTTCATTAATATTTTATGATTTAAATTGTTTGTATTAGGCTTATTAGGCCTCTGAGCAAATTATACAGCACAGCCTCATACCTTAATAAAGTTTAGCATGAACACTTAATTCATATAAGGACCCCTGGTCATCTCTAAATTGTGTCTTCAGGGATATTTTCTTTACTCCTTTTATCTGGGATTTGCTCTCCCTCGTTTGATGGTGTTTGGTGATGCAGCTTTTGTTCTTTTTCTCTTTGGTCTGGAGGAGAGTCTTATCCAGTGCTTATCACACAAATTTATTCTCTGCATTTCGGCCCATTTTCAGCATAAACAACTTCAAAGTATCATTTGGCGATATGAAATCCTAGCTTCCCTTATCTCTATACAACACTGATGCTTCTTTTGAACTTTTAGCTCGGATGTTGAGACATTGTTGAGAGTGATGACGAGACGATAACATTTGGCAGATTCGCTGTGTTCTCATAAAGCAAATAGTGTTGGGGTTCCTATTAATTTCCCCATTCGTTAAAAAAAAAAAATAATTGGCATTTACCTCGCTATAAAGACAAATAAGACAAAGGACACACAATGGATATGGCATTTTTACTTTTTATGGTTCTTTTTATGAGGAAAACCATGTAATTGTTAGATTTTCTGAGACATTTTCATCAATAAATATTACAGTTCAGAAGAGGACACATTGTGGACACACCAGGACAGCAAGACAGCGGTGTATTGAGAGCTTACAACACTTACTTTAGAACGAAGTAACACAGTCTATATGACGTCTTGGGACGTACGTCTTTTGACCATACGTCAACATCCGCCTTTTCAACATCAAGGCAGTCCTTATGGTGCTTGATGGGAGCGTCACTGCCAAGGCCCACTGAGCCATTCTGGAAACCCTGGTTCAAACATTGTACCCTGAAGGGACTGCCGCCTATCAGCATGATAACGCATCAATACAGAATGCTTTGATAAACATGAATGTGAAGTTGAGCATCTCCTATGGCCTACACAGTCACCAGATCTAAATGTTTTTGATCCACTTCAGGGTATTTTGAAGGAACAAGCCAGAAAATGTTTTTCTCCACCAGCATCACATGGTTCACAACAGTAACCTGGTTACTTTTCTGGCTAAAAAACCCTCTAGCCACTGTGCAGGACTTGTCTCTGTCATTCCCAAGACAAATTGATGCGGTATTGGCTGAAATAAAGGCCCTACACCACACTAATAAATTATTGAGGTCTAAAACCAGGTGTTTCAGTTTCACTATCCCATTGTTGAAGTAACTATTATTGTGACATACGGTGTATGGTACGCAGGCACCCCCTAATGGTTAAACCAAGAACCTCTTAAAGCCATATTCTATCTATCTATCTATCTATCTATCTATCTATCTATCTATCTATCTATCTATCTATCTATCTATCTATCTATCTATCTATCTATCTATCTATCTATCTATCTATCTATCTATCTATCTATCTATCTATCTATCTATCTATCTATCTATCTACAGTATTTATATATCTGCTCTGTTTTCTGTCATTTAATTACAAAATAATGTTAATAATATATTTATAAATAAAAAAAATCACTGAAAAAAAAAATCTGAAATGAGGTCTCCTCTGCTGGAAGACCCTCATCTGTTCTCCCCCTTGAAGGAGGGCGCCACGTCAATCAAGAAGCTTTTGGCTTTAAAGGGCCGCAACTCGGATGAGAACTGAATCGATAACAGAGGAACGTCATACTCTGGGACTGGTGGTAAAATCACACTTTTATTATCAGCTTACTTAGTCGCTGGATTTGTACAAAGATCAAATAATGCATTACAAGACTAGACCATTGGACATTTTTATACGCACACAAAATCAGACATAGGGATCGTAGCAGGGCGGCTATGCAAACCTTGAGCAGAAGACAACAGACCGGATTAACAGGGCCATGTTATGTGGTTTCAGAAAAGTATTAGCAACACATACACACACACACACACACACACAGAGGCACAATTCACTAGCACACCAGATGGCAGATTTACAGCAACTACAACATGTCAGGACTAAAGAATCACCTCTTCGTTACTAAGTTCACAGTTGACCAACTATGGTGTAGGTCATGGATTGTAAGCTTTCTTATCCAACATTGCTTTGCCTCTGATTCGGTCAGTCCTCAATCATCAGTGGCTTCCTCAGGAAGCTGTAGTAAGAGCTTTTGATTGTACAGCATGCTGAAGACTAGAGCAGCACACAGCAAGTTTGTATATGTCACTTTGAATTCGATGCAGATTTATCTACCAAAAGATCTTCAGAAATGGTTATGACTGTGTGAAAAGTCATCGTTTTTAGAAAGCAATTGTTCAAGACTGGAGGCACTTGAGAAATAAAGGAATACTACATCAGAGTAAGGCACCACAAACAACAGTTACAACACATCTTTGGAACAACAAAATGTACACACTTCAGGTTTACACACATACTGTAATACAGTTTAGGTTGAAATCTGTCCAGGTTTTGGGCTGCATCACCTCCTTTTCAATTAATTGCAGTTTTAGACAATGAAATATTATTTTGCATTTCGTGGTAAAAATATATAATACGATAATTGTTCTGGAAACAATATTGCACAGGTTACAGCTACGAAGGTGAGGTCTATCACAAAGTTGTTGGATTCGGGGGAAACAAAACTCTCATTAAACCATTTACATAAACTGGGAAAGTCTTTATATTTGTTTTAAAAAATAAACATTTAATGACATTTTAGCTTTTTTTTACTATAATAATACTATGGGGATTCTTAAAAAAAATGGATGGTTGACAGTAAATGCAAGTTAAAAAAAATCATACTTCAAGTATACACTGTTCTGTTACATCAAGTAAAAGTACATTCAAATGCTTTTATGTTTCAATCAGACACAATCACACACAGCAGCTTTAAACACTGGGACATCCATAAACGCCACTTCTTTATACTGCCAGCCTGTACAAATTGTTGTTTGACATTGTCAAGGATGGCATGTTGAGAAACAAGTGTAAATTTGACATGAACAAGCCTCTGCTTCTCTCATGAATGATATAGTGAATTGTGCTGAAGATAATACAGCTCCTGTGTTGTGAGAAGATATTCTCCGTCACAGATTACAACAGAATGCATCGCTAAATGTGAATCGAATCTCTGTAACGTAGTTTCAATATTTTGGAAGGTTAATTAATGAGTTCCTGAGAACAGCACCTGAAATTAGCAGAGGTAATCAACAAGACTGGTGATACACAAAAACTTACACAATGAATGGTTGTGGATTGTTGCCTAGTTTGTGAACACTTTGACAGGGCAATTCCCACATTAACTATTAGTAACTACTCATTATGCCATAATAATCACTTGGTTAATTTTCAACAATGACTGAGCAATTGTGTGTCAAATCTCAACTAAGTAACTCGGCCACATACGCAGGCAGTTGTGGCTGTGATTAGATGACTGAACGCCACAATCACAAGGCCAGTCACAGGGAACAGGTTGTAAAAGTGGGAGGGGCTTTAGCTATGTGGGAGGAGCCCCTTCTTGTAGGCGACCACTCCTGCGGCTGTGGCCAGAGCCAGGAAGGAGGACACGCCCATAAACGTGAGGAACCCTCCAACGGATGGCAAGTTTCTTTCCCAGAATGTAGTGACAAACGGACGGGCTGGGACATCCTGAGGAAAGGGTTTAGAGTAGTACTTGTTCAAGATCCCAAAGAGGTTTTTCTTTAAATTGATGCCATATATTTTTATATTAATTAATATCTGTTTAACACAGCAATACTAGGTTTGTATACATTTGGTCCAATATGTGCTATAGAAAATGCTACATGGATTAACAGAAATTCAATAAAAAAAGTTAAATATAATTATATATAAATTTAAGCCATATAGAGGGAATGCGCGTGACGTCACCGTCTGCCGGAGTGCCTGCAGTTACTCACAGTGAGTGGCAAAAAGACTGATCGGCTGTAATTGTTTTCAGCGTGAATGCTGGGAAAAACAAACACAACAGGTATAAAGTGGGAAAGAGTTTTGCGATTGACTGTACAACTAGATTTGACAAAAAATCGGAGGTATATTTTTACAGACTGCTATAGAAAGAGGAGCAAATGGATCACTGCAATTCACATAAACAATTGGACTCCAGTCGGCGAAAGGTGGATTTGCAGTTTGCAATTTAGGTGTAAAACCATAGCCATATATTTTGTATTGTTATATATATTAACAACTCATCAATTAAATATTTATCATATTCTGCATTATTGGATGTTTTTTTTTATAAACACTGATAAAAAAAATAATAATAAAGTTTTAGGGCTGGACGATATAATGATATATATAGGCTATATATAACACTGATAAGTGATCACCCATATTTAGACCTACCTATTGTATTTTTATAAAGCGTTCACAGTCAAATTTGCTTTATGTTTAGGTCTATAATCCTTTTATTTTCCCGGTGTCGAAATCAGGCAAACATAAATGTCAGGCAACCCGATTCCTGGCTGCATGTCAATATCCATGGATCACTGGATCTTTAGTAAGTTGTAAGGAACCCTATACTGAGTCCAACATTTAGTTTAAATTGATAAAATTGTTCATTTTAGTCGCATTTTCGCAGTTTCCCCTATTAAATCCAGTCACGCAGCAGATCTTTTGCCACTCAGTCAGGCTGAGGGGGGGTTGTTCCGGCGGATAAGTGACGTTAATGCATTCCCTCTATAGAAAATGTTTCTTAAAATTAAAAAAAGTGAATTTCATACCAGTGATTCAGGCTCTGACTGCCAGATCTGACTCGCATGAAGTTTTCCCATTGCACACAAAATCTAAAAGAATAAAGCATTTAGTATTTTGAGTTTTTCAGCAACGTTTACAATTGAGGCATTTAGGTTAGTGCAATTTTTGTTGAAAGAATTTAGCACTTTTATTCAGCAAGGTTGTAATAACAATAACATCTAGAACTAATAAAACACGCCAACACAATATTTATGGATAATAAATGAAAGTGACATGAAAGTCAATAAACTTGATGATGTTGTAACTGGAAATTTGGGTTGAACAATTTAGATCTCAGTAACTAAACCCTAGTAATGGCAAAGAACCCACCTCTCTAGAGGCTCTCTCGCCCGCCTGCACAGCCCCCTCCATGTAACCGCTCCACTCTGTGGACGTTTCAGTTCCTGCAAAGTACAGCCTGCCCACGGGCTCCCGCAGGACCCTGAAATAGAGAGAAACATCTTCTCATGTTGATTTTTTTTCTTTAGTCTTAGTCTAGTATTTTGCTGAATCAGAGATGCTCCATCTGGAGGTACGGTACACTTACCTGCCATACTGTGTCATGATACCAGGGGGGAAGTAGGCGGTGTAGCAGCCACCAGAGTATTCCTCCTCACACCAGTTTTTCTCCTCATAGTGCACAGGCTGAGAAAAAAAGACCCCCATGAAAAGTAAGCATCAAAAAATGATGAGACCAAAGGATGATTTCTGGTCATGGAGACTCACATGTAGCGCTTCCTCTGAGCCGAGCACACGAGAATAAATCTCACAGATCCTTCTCTTTCTGTAATGGTTGACAACATTCTGGTAAGAATAATCATATCAACAAATGTACTAATATGAAAACAGACATTTCTACCTCTCATCTTTCGTCAGGCCTGCTAGTTTCCTGGATTTTCGTGCCAGGATGAAACTGCAAAAGAGGGAAAAAAAAGCTTACTGTTCTGTCACCTCAGGCATCTCATTTATTTTGTGAGCAGTTTACGTTCATCCTACAATAGAAAGCTCATCGCTTTATTTACCCCATTATAGCAGGCACAGACCCATCAGGCTTAGTGTCGTCAAGCGTGAGACCAATAGGCGATTCCTCCTCCTCGATCACCATGCTGCCACAGTATCCTGAAAAATCAAAACAGCCATGTGTAGCCAGAGTTTATTAAGTAGTATTTATATACGATTATATTTTGAATTAGTTTTTATTTTTATATTTTCAGTTTTCATTTAAATAATTATGTCCTTTTGTCTTTTTTTACTTCAACTTTTTAGTCATTTTAGCACTTCAACTGTTATTTCAGTAGGTTGCCATGTCAACATTTCTCATTTTCATTTAAGTTTTTCATCTAAAATGTATATTTTATTTTAGCTTTATTTCATATAAAGAATTTTTTTTCATAGTTTTAAGTTTTAAAACTGTGTGTAGCCAATTTAGTCCCATGTGGATGTGTTCACACTTGTCAGGTTTGGTTTGTTTAAAACGAACTCTGTTGCGATTGCTCTGTTAAGTGCGGTTCATTTGATTAAGTGTGTACACTGTGTGTACTAAGTGTTTACAAGCAAAACAAAACCCCAAAAAGGCGCGTCGGTCCGCATCTAAACGAACTCTGGTGAGATTCGACAGAAATATAAATCACAACGCGGACCAAAGACATCTAAACAAACCAAATACACCATAAAAAGGACAGAATGCTGGAGGACAGAAACCTGTTTTATTCTCTTCATAGGAACTTTGTTGATCAGGGGTGCATTTCCCGAAAGCATCGTTGGCCAACTATGGTCGCAAGTTGGTCACAATTTCCATTGAACTCTATTGGTAACGACGGAACTTGCGAGCATAGTTGGCTAACGAACGATGCTTTCGGGAAATGCACCCCAGTTCAGTACAGGTGTCTGAAACGTCGTCTTCCTGCAGCAAATCTTCGTTTGTGTACAACGGAGGAATTCCTGCCGCTGTTTTGACTCCTTTACACATTTCAAAAAACTCTTCACGATTTCTTAGCAGGTCAAAATACCATCATAGGTACACACATACAACGAGCGCATTTAGACCAGAACACAGCATCGTTTTGGATGTTCGTTAAGTCTGTCACGAAATAATTTTTTTATTGTTATTATTATCTTTAAGTTCCTTTAAAATGACAGGGTAAACACAAAATGAACCAGGACTAAAAGTTTTTTTTTTTTTTTTTTGGTCCAGACCAAGGGTGTGAAGACACCCTTAAACTGCTTTTGAGTGATTTAATTTAATGGAAAATAGGCAAGAGGTACAGACCCTTCTTCCTCCAGAAATTCTCTTTGTAGTACACCATGCATTTGATGACTGAGCCCATAGGCACTCTATGAATGAGCTGGTTCCTCAGAGGGGGTAATTCAGGTTTGAAATGGATCTTCAAGTTCAGCCCCGGTGGTATGGCAAGTATGACATATTTTGCCTACAAGAACAGAGAAAGTTAGAAAAGCCATTAAAAAAAATTTAAATATAAGTGATTTCAGATAGTTTAGTGTTAAAAAGACTGATTGTCTTATGAAGTAATACGTGACAGGATCAAACCCCATAAATCATCAACAACGTACTTAAAGTTGGCATGAAATGGAAGTTGTGATTGTCTTTTTGTCCACTATTGTAAGATATATCCAAGTGAAACGGCTTCTTTAACAAGACAAAATTGATTGGCTTGTTGTGATTGGATGATCTCATGTGAGTTACAGGTTGTCCCGCCCTCATGCCAGTAAACATATCATCAGAGAAGAGAAAAGAAGAGAAGTCATTACAAGATATAGGGGAAGTTATTTTGATTAAATATGCACGAAAAATAAGCAAAAAAACAGCAAAATAAGATAAAAGAATAAAAAAATAAGAATGGTCCATTTGATTTCATGGTGACTTTAAAGTTGTTGTAGGCATTTTGCTGTAGAAACTGCACATAAAATGTCCTTTCAATCTGAAAGCTTTCTCTGATATCACGCCTGTCTTTGTGACTGTATAACAAAAAGAGTTGTATTTTGCTTTAATGGATTTACAGTCTCAAAACCTAAAAAAGGTAAAATTTTGAATGAATAATTTCACAACAAATTTGCTGAAAATTCAGCTTTGCTATCACAGTAATAAGTGGCATTTTAAAATGTATTACAGTTTTTGCCCATTGCTTGAACACTATAGAACCATGCTTAGACTAAAGTAACACAACTTGAAGCTTTTTTTACCATGCCTCAAACACATGTACCCATACTTTAAACAAAAGCGTTGCTTTGCACTCTAGTTGCAATTCTCCAACACACTTACTCCTTTATGCAACACACTTGGTCCTTCATACTACACTCTATTTCATACATAAGACACTTTGTTCAAAAATGAAATCTCAGGGTGCCATTTGGAAAACACATGTATTCAAAATACAAAACACATTGGGTTATTGCAACCACTCAAATACACATCCGAAGGCACTTAATTGCAAAACTGAACACCAATCAGCCAGCTACAAAAGCCCTCAGTTTAGCCATTTGAAGAACTTTGCAAGCATGGATAGAGGGAGGGAGAGCAAGAGGAAGAGGAGGAGGAGGAGGTCATGGTCGAAGAGGCCGTGCACGGACTCTGATGATATACTGTAAGAGCAACTTTGGTGGACCGTAATCAACCATGGCCTGACGAAGAGAGTCCAGCCACATTTACTGTAAGCCGCTTCACAATGACATCTATAACATTCCGACTAGGAAACAGGTATGTCTTCACCTCTCTACCTTCTACTCCACTCAGATGGTATTTACAGCACTGTAGTGTATATCACATCAATGACTAGAAGACCTTTTGGGAGAGGACGCCAACGCCTGTTCACACAACAGAAGGAACTCGCCATTGTGGACCTAGTGAGGGCAGACAATGCCATCCGTCTCCACCAGAAAATACTTGCTGACAGAACAGTGTTCAGCAACATAAACCATGTGAGGATCACCACCATCAGACGCACCTTGGGGAAACACAGCATCACCATGAAGCAGCTCTACAGAGTCCCATTTGAGAGGAACAGGGACAGTGTCAAATGACTTCGAGCTGAATATACTGTATATGGGTAAGTGTAACTGTCTTTTACATGTACAATGCAGTAATGGTGAAATCCAGTACCAGCTGAATATGTACCATATCAGGACCACATGGATCTATTTGGAGAGCTTCACAGGTACCTGTGATGGGGTGAGGGTTCTGTATGTGTAGTACTATAGTGCAGAAATATGCTCTATACTGCATACAACAGCCAACATATACTCACATTTCTAGATGCTCTGTATGTATACTGTAATATATATAGTGTTTTTTCTATTACAGCATTACAGTTTTTCTCGATTGTTTACACACATTTTCTGAAAGAATGCCTCATATTCTCAGAACTCTACACACAAATCTAAAAACACTCACACAATTGGCAAAACCCCTCAATTCTCCTGCAAAATGAAACTTTACATTCAAAACAATGTTATTTCTTCTCAAAATGGTATTTTGTTTTCAAATGACACACACAAACCATCATATGAATAGACATTTATAAGAACCAGTTGAACACTGATGTGCTCAATGTAAAACACTATGATCAATGGAAAACACTTCTTCTCCATTCATCATAATGACTTAGGCCTTTTTTGTTCAGTGTTACTTAGTGTTACTACAGACATTACATACATAAGTGTGTTGTAAAATATTTGAAAATATTGTTTTTTATACCCAGAACACACAAATACACGGTAACAAATATATTTTATTTTTTCCCACAAAATCAATGGGAGATAGATCGCACATTTTGTACACCCCAACCAACACAAAGTTGCACATACAGTGGTCTACATACAAAACAACACAATTTTTTATGCTGTTACAGTAAAAAAAGAAATAAAAAAATATCTATGCTGCATTCTCTCTTTGGTTTTGGTATTTTATGCTAAAGCTCTGATTGCTAATTGTAAAACTGTATGAAATGTGTTTGCCCATTTGACGAGTCAGTGTGAATATTTGAATGGCAGTGTGTTCCTCATGAAAACAAGAGATTTTCTGCATGAAAATTGTGCCAAATGCAGAGAATTGTGTGTAGTGTTTTGAAAAACGTGTGTTTTAGAACTGAAATTTGAGTGTAAAGCAGGAATTGTGCTTGTAGTTCAGCAGAATTGGTTCAGGGGGTTGGTGAATGAGTTACATGTTGTCGTCATTGTGTCTCAAGTACCAGAAAATGTGTGTAAACAATCGAGAAAAACTGTATTATATATATATATTTTTTGCTTTATCTGAATTTATCTTACTGCAATGTATAGTGCTGCAATGTACAATATTGAGTAGGCCTGTTTGCTTTTTTGGTTGTTTGAAAATGTTCCTCCTGAAAATATGCCTTCTGAATAAACAGTCAAAATCAAAGACTGCAGTGTTTTATATAAAGTAGAATAGTGTGTTTCCTCTGATCTGAAAGTGTTGGCGTATGGTGCAAGTGTGTGTCATTTTGTCATCAGAGTTACATTTTGACAAAGGAATGTTAGGTTTTGATCGTAGAGTTTCAATTTGACACAGATGTCAATGGTATATTTTCCAGTGTTATGTCACGTTTACTTGTCTGTAGAGTTTTGGCACAATGAGCGAAACTTTGAAAAATGTGTTCAAGCAATGGGCAAAAACTGTAAATGGAAACCAGTTATTTTAAATTGTAATAATATTTCACAATATCACTGATTTTACTGTGTTTTTGACCAGATAAATGCAGACTTGGTGAGTATAAAATACTTTTTTTTACATAAAAAAAAAACCTTATCTACCCCAACATTTTCAACTATAGAGTAAATCAGTTTTAGATATATGGATATATTGTTGAATATACAGTAGTCGTTCCAGTGTCCCCCCACTGTTCCTCCCCAGAAGGTTAAGCAGCTCTCCAGCAGCCTTTAATAAGCTTTCAGCTCAGGAAAGAGGATGTGGCCAGGACAGGGGGATGAAGAGCGGCTTACTGATAACAATCCACCAAGCTTACACACATGGTGATACATACTTCAAAGTGGGACATTTGTCCTTCAAATTAGCCGATTTAGCAAATTTGAGATGTAATATATGAAGAGTTCAGATGCAAAAGCCTCTAAGTGCCATTTGAAATTTTCATCTAAAATGATCATTTTTATCAAGCTTGTATATTTCAGTTCAGTAATTTCACTTAAATGGCAATGAAGATTACCTATTAATTGTCATTTAAGTGAAATTACTGAACTTATATATACAAGCTTGATAAAAATGGTCATTTTAGAAGAAAATTTCAAATGGCATTTAGAGGCTTTTGCATCTGAACTCTTCATATACTACCTAATCAGAGGGAAATTCATCACTGGTTACTGAACTCATAGACTAACCTACTACACTACCATTTCTGCAGTATCATGTATATTGTGTGAATTGTACAAATTTTGTATACATGCACAAAATAAGGGGTGACACACTACTTATTTGGAATACTGTATACCACAATGTCAATTGAGTTGATCTTACATTTCCATGTAACAAATTTGATCGGATAGCAAAAGTTAACCCCTTAACTGTCACCGTCCCGGTACCGGGACGCCTAACTTTACTTCACTATATTTCTATTAAATTCTATGACAAATTATATATTGTTGGAAAGGTCTAAGACTTCTAAATAAATAGTCTACCCCTTTTTTGTGTTACAAATTATGCAGGTAGAGTAATTGATGAATTTATGAATTTATAAATAATTGATTAATTTAAGAGTGCACCTAAAAAAATTCTGCATTATAACAGGAGGTCTGACCTATGTCACAAAAAGTCGATGCATCCCCTTTTAATCATTGAAACTTCTGTTTTTATGCTAAAAGTTCATAATAAAACATATAATCTAGTATTTTTCAAAAAAAAAATTATAGTATAATATTATCCTTTAATAATTATAATATATATATATATATATATATATATATATATATATATATATATGTATATATATATGTGAAGAGTTCAGATGCAAAAGCCTCTAAATGCCATTTGAAATTTTCTTCTTTAATGATGATTTTTATCAAACTTGTATATTTAAGTTAAGTAATTTCACTTAAATAACAATTAATAGGTAATTATCATTGCCATTTAAGTGAAATCACTGAACTGAAATATACAAGCTTGATAAAAATGATCATTCTAGAAGAAAATTTCAAATGGCACTTAGAGGCTTTTGCATCTGAACTCTTCATATATATATATATATATATATATATATATATATATATAATCCTCTAAAATATAATATTATTTTTATCGCCTTTTTTATTATATCACATATTTTAGTAGTTATCATAAATTAGGTATCATTTGAAAGCTTATAAACTCAGAACTCAGAAAACTGTTTTATAATTGAACATTGCATTACCATAGAAACGGTACTTATTTTATCAGGCTCCTCCCCTTTTGGGCATCACTATATTTCATAACAAAACCTTTTCTAATCTTGACAAAACACATATTGTCAGAAAGGTCTAAATCTCAAGGTTCCAAATTTTGTGACAAAATTGATATTTGGACAGAAATGTATTCATTTGTTAAGGCAGAATGTATACAACTAAATTCAATGGAATTCAATGGCAACTGGTGGCTATTTTTGGTACTACGCCTTAACAAAATTTCATGGGAACTTCAATTTTTGTGATATCAACTTCAAATTTGGAACATAACTTGGTTAGATTTATGGCTTTAGTACAGTATATTTGATTTACTGTGAATTTAAACTTCCATAACTTTTTACTTTCATTTTTTGAAGTGTTTTCACTTCAGCAATAATCTGCTGAGTGTTTTCTTTAAAACAAGACCAAACTTGGGTATTTATTCCAAAGCATTCTTGAATTACTTGAATTTAAGTGTGAATAGTACATATAATTAGAGTCAAACTAGTATGTTTTAATATTGCAGAAGACCTGACTACAAATGCAAAAGCATGTTTTCAATGGAAATAAATTACTTGTGTGTGTTTGTGTGTGTTTCCAAGACAACAACTGGACATGTGCTACTGTTTGAAAGTTTGCATGATGCATTCTTCTTTCACATAGCTTGTTTTAATTATTAGTAGTCATTATATACTATGTAGTTTGCAATAAGCATTATGCTAGTAGTCCATTCCAAATGCACCTTCTCACCTTGTATATCTCGTCATTAACTGTCCTGACCTCCACCAGGTCTCCAGTCTGGTCAATGCTGTAGACAGCTCTGCTCAGCTTCACACGGTCCCCCAGCTCTCTCGCCATCGCCTCACTGATTTGATTGGCACCTCCAGCAAACTTGCGCTCCTGTCATATGGGGAAGCAGAAAGTAGATTTCCAGAGTTAGAAAAAATTGCTCACACACGCATCATGCTAAATTGTCCATGCACTTTAGTTCGATATTGTAAGTATGATCAGTTTAATAGTTCTACATAAAAATGGAATGCAACTCTTTAATCCACCAACAGATGTCTCTGTGTCTCAGAGATAGAATGATCACAGAGTTGTATAATACTGTCCACCATGCACAAACCTTATCAGACACATTCAGAATATAAAACAGATTAAAGAACAGGAACAGGCAAATCATAACACTTCATTGACAATGCCGTCACATAAGAAGTCTTTAATAAAAGAAGGGACAGTTTGTTATCAACTTAAAGAAAACTGTCCTTTTGTTTATTTGTGTTCCATCAGGGAGGCTCCTGCTATATATGACCCAAATAAAGTGGCCACTATTTCGGTATGTTACATAATCAGTTCTGTGTCCGGAATGAATGGGGACGGCACAAGGTAGTCTCTCTTGAAAAGTATAAACTACAATCAACGTAATGAATAAAATTCATCTTCAGAGATTAAACAAATTGAATACCTAACCTGTATGAGAACACTACAAATACTTGCTGCATTATGACAGAAAATATTTTTTTTTAGTCAGTGCTGTTTTACCAATATTTACACTTTTTTTTTTTGGGGGGGGGGGGGGGTACTGGTTCTTTAATATTGGATCTTATTGGATGTTATTGTTATTAATTGTATTAATAATAATCATTATATATATATATATATATATATATATATATAATGATTATTATTACATATATATATATAATGATTATTATTAATACAATTAATAACAATAACAATAGTATTAATAATAATATCTCGTATTGATAATAATATCTCATAAATCTCTAGTGGTCTAGATAGAAAAATTTGAGGAAATATGAGAACTAATTGCAACTAACCAATGATGTCTAACCTGGCATTATGCTTCATTTAAATATATTTGAATATGCATTATGAACTAGCCCTTTAACCCAATGTACCTCTTTCCTCTGTACTCATGTCAGCAAATCATTTCTCTTTCTTCCACAGAAAGTCAGTCGTTTGCCCTCCCAACTCATTTTGAGAGCTGTGGTTAGCTAAATTAGGGGTAAAGACTGAACGGTGACAGTGACTATTGGACTTGGCAAGAACATCGGATTTAACAGCTACTGCTTGATTTATATCACTATTTCCAACACCTGCATTGCTGTCCTGAACTGCCAATATTTCTAAAAGACAATGTGAGGACGTTAAAGCCCCCATGTGTCACTTGCTTGGCCTGTCTTTCTCCAGCTCTCCCACAGATGGTAATTATACTGGTGCAGTGAAAAAGCCGTGAAAAGAGATGCACAAAAACATGCTGTGCAAACGTGGATGTCATGGAGTTTATATGTTTGCCGTATAATTAACTCTGCTCTTTAACAGAGAATTAACCAACCGAGATAACATAATATTCAAACATTACACAACAAACTATAAAATATAATGTGTTGGATCAACAACAAAAAATCAACAACATTTTGCATCAATTATTTAGTTATGATAACTGAGTGAAGCCAATATAGTCTTCATCTTCGATTCATCTACTCTTGCAATGGTAAACATAAAAACATCAACATAACAGAACCTCTTTTAAATGTCAAACATAACAGCATTAAACACTAACAGTTACTTAAATCAAATAAATTAACACTTAATTTCAACATTTATTCTCCTTATCCAGATCTAAGCTAAGCATGCTGGGAACTAGAAATCCACTGCCGAATTTCCAAAGTTATCAAGACAATTTCATTTAAGTTAAAAAATGTTTAAATTACAGACGATATCAAGTTGATGTAATAATCAACATTATTATGTCAACAGAACTCTACAAAATATTGTTTGCAACTTAAAAGGTTTCATTAAAACAATCAATTTGCAACCATGCATTTATTTAAGTTGTGGTAACATAACCCCTGAATTACTTTTTTGAGTGCAGCCTACAGCTTTAATGAGCTAAAAATGTAGTTTGAAGACTTACCTGGCCCCCATTGGTGGTAGAGAAGATTCTCATTGTGCCTCCACACTGTTTGACGTACCAAAGGAACCACAGAGCAGACACCTCATGGGGCTCGGAGGTCACGTTCACATTGACAAACAGAGTGGCAAAGCGGCGAGCGGCACTGCAAGCAAAAAGTTGGTAAAGGGATATGCCATCAATAGCCAATATGCAAAACAATAACCTGATATTAATTGGTCTCTTCTCTGTACCTGGTCCAGCAAATTTTGTCAAAGAGTTGCTGCATGGTCATCTTGTCCCACTCTTCAGCATGAGGGGCCCTCCATGGAGCTTCTTTAGGAATCTAAAGTGCACATTTGGTGTCAGGCACTCATGGTGGATTTTTAGGCTTCAAAATCTAGGGTTCCATTCACTCCCATTAAAAAGCTTGGAAGAGCCAGGATATTTTTTTAATATAACTGTGATTGTGTTTGGCTGATAGAAAATGTCTTATACACCTAGGATGGCTTAACCCTTCAACAATACTTCTAGTATTTATATGTTTTTGTTGTTGAAAAAAACGCAGTTCCAGTGCTAAATGATGAGATATTAATGAATAAAATATGAAAATAAAATATATTAAGAAATAAAATTGTCCTTAAAACATCCTCCTCATTATATAAAAATGTTTTTATAATTATGCCAAACACGGCTCATTTGGATATTGTGGGATTTATATGTGACTGCCTCAAGAAATAGATTTACATCACACACCGTATACAAATGCCTGTTCAATTTCTGACTTGCTTCACATGCTTGAGTCAGCTGACAACAGGACAAATAGAAGAGTAAAGGAATATTTTTTTTATCGCGCCCTGTTTAAACAGCTCAATTGATTCTAAATTTCAGATCCCAGCATCATGTGCAAGTGGATGGCTTATTTATTTTAATGCCAACCCCTAATGCGCCGGATAATTATATGTTTGTTAGGAGCATTTGACTGCAGATTGTCGCTGCAACACATCGTGATGTATGTGTTTCATTCACTAAAAAGAACCTTACTCGGTGTATGTGTAAGTACTGACACATTAGAGCCATTTATTCGGGAATCAAACTACACTGTTCATATTCTGTTCTGTTCTGTGTAGCGGTGTTGTGGCGCCGTTCAATAAGAATCGTTGATATATGGGAGAACAATTAATAGAACTGTTTTTTTTAACCGATTTTGAACAAAAATGGCCTTTACCTCCATCCCCATCTTGTCCATTGTCCTCCAGAGATTGTTGTAGTCCATGTAGGCAAGAGGGTTCCACAATGGAGGGAAAGGCCCTTTGAATGGATATGACTTCCCCTGGGAAACAAGAAACAATGTCTATAAAAAACCTACTACCCTATCACCAAATAATGTAAATTGTAATTATTATTTTGTCATTGTTGATGTAATGTCTTTATCATAGCCATCATGACCTCATTATCATTAGAAGTATAACCAGTCTGGAATGGAAAACGGTCTTCGCTGCCTAAAATATACGTAACTGCATCTCGCCTGGCTTGGTATGTAATCAGTTAATGGAGGGCCTCTGTTCACAGCCTTTACAGTTTGCGTTAATACAACCAGAAGATCAGAAGCAACTTGACCTTATCAAGTCTCATAAAAATGTGACAATCTTCTTTATTAAGCGCAGGAAAAAGAGATATGCTTATTTAGAGGGTTGGGGTGGAACATATAATAATGAAAAAGTACCCATAAATAACGCTAATATAATAAAAAGGAAATTCATAATGACAGATAATGACAATGTTAGTCTTTGGCAAACAGCAGCTATATGACACAAGCTGTTCACACATCGCCTGCTTCCCACAGTAGTGGAAACGCTTAGTCAGTATGATCATTCTCTGTGGCTGGCCAATAGGGTAACTATATGCAGACATTACTTCATACCTGGATTGCTCTGTTGCTGTGGGGCTCTTAAATGAGCACTGTGGAGCTGATTGATTAATGTTTGACTACACATCAAAGTCGAAGTGCTGCGTTTCAATGTGTTCTTCAACATAAAGTCACTATCAGGGACTTCATTTTGATTATGGGTTTAGTCAACATTAAAGAAGGATCTAGAGTGATAGTCAAAAATGTACTAAAGGTTACTGCAACATTGAATGAGGCAACCTAGTCAAAACTGCTGACACAATCAAAGACCTGTCACCTAGAAGGAATCTCACGCACCCCTGGGTTTGATGTCCATCATTCACTTCCAGGCAATTTGTTGTGTCATAGTGATTTGTGCATTTTCAGCGCACCGTCATTTAATTGCTAAAACCCAGTCATTTTATTGCTTGCAGAAAACATCTGAGGGGAACCAGAGTGGTTTTTGAGTAGGACTAGAATGCACTTAGTAGGACAGTTAAATGGTTGAACACTTCAACCATGCAAAACACTTGTCAGCAACAAAGGAATGCCATGCTCCTATTGTCTTGTATACAAAAGTGATGTAGATATAAAGCCACCTTGACAATTATCCATGCTTAATTATACATTTACATTTATATATTTGCCAGACGTATCCAAAGTGTCTTCCATTGCATTCAGTTTATGCATTCCCTTGGATTCAAACCCATGACTTTTGAGTTGTTAGCATCATGCTTTGCTGTTTGAGGTACAGGAATGATCAAATATCTATTTTTTCAATTTAAAATACACTTAAAAATCTGAGGGGGCACATGCATGATAATTCTACAGCAGTGCCAGTTGAACGTATCTATCAATGGTCTATGTGGCCTGAGGCTGGGTTTAAAAATAAATAAATAAATAAAACACATGCATAATGCTCTTTTATAATGTATGATCTTTTAACATGACTTAGCCATTTGCATTTCGAGCCAACTAGCACCACAGGGAAATATGTTTAGCTAAATAAGGGACCATGACATTTCCATATGATTTGTGAGGCTGCCAGACCAATACAGGGGAGGACACTAGATCGCTCAGCATCCAGCAACAGGTCTGTTCCCATAGCGACGGAATTGAGGTGGAGAGATGGAGTGCATCTTTTATGATATCCTTTCAGCCAGAGCAGAACCTAAGCCTCTCTACTATCAGTAACCACACTACTGTTCTACAGCCGCCCACCAAATCAGCAATGAGATATGAGACCACATCCTATCCAACGCAAAATGTATCATCCTCTAAAGTAACATTCTATTTGCCTGTATGTTACATTACAGACATTTTACAGAAATCTTGTTTTTTTCAGAGATAAACAGTTGTTATAAGCAGAATGTGCACAATGTTTGGGATTTTTTTGCAATGATATTGGCCGTGATAGGGATAAGCTGATAATTATTTTCATTTCATGGCCGATATTAAAATTATACGCTATTTTTATCTAAATAAATAAATTAATTAAAAAACACTAAAAATCTACTTAAAATGCTACATGTGAATTTAAGCATCACAACATTTTAATGTACAGTATGATGTACAAATTTTTACTGTACTTTGAGATTTACTAAAGATTATTAGTGTTTTAAAGAATAACTAAAGATTATTAGTGTTTTAAAGATTAACTTAGTCATCGTTAAGTGACCGGAAAACATCTCGGGTTACGTATGTAAATCTTGTTCCCTGAGAAAGGGAACGAGACACTACGTCGGTGACGACACTAGAGGAATGCCCTTCAGCGCAGCACGTTTGAATTTATGAATGAAACCGAATCCAATCCTATTGTCTTTGCGTGATGACGTAGCGCGTGACGGATGTGTACAAAAGCACGCCGGCACAAGCAAAGTCAGCTTTTGCTATGAAGCAAGTGCTCTAAGCAGGGTGAGGTGTGGCGAACCGATGCACTGTCTCGTTCCCTTCTCAGGGAACAAGGGTTACATACGTAACCTGAGACGTTCCCTTTCGAGGGAACTCAAACTGCGTCGGTGACGACACTAGGGGAACGAGATACCCACTATACCACAACTAACCCTGCCTATCCTAGTGTGAGGCTGTCTTCAGGTACAACCTAGGATGAAAGCACTCGTGCACTGGGTGTAGAGGGAAGGTCCAGACTGTAAAACCTCATGAATGTGTGCGGAACGTTGCCCAACCAGCAGCCTCACATACGTCATGTATAGATAACCCTGATAGGAGGGCCCTAGAAGAAGCTATGCCTCTGGTGGAGTGAGCCCTCACGGCCATAGGTGAAGGCAAATTGCACACCTGATAGGCCAAGGAAATAGTCTGAACAATCCAGTTGGTGATGGTCTGTTTAGAGGCGGGAAGACCCCTCTTGGGCGACCCGAAACACACCAGCAATTGGTTGGACTTCCGCCACGAGGAGACCTCTGGATATCATACTGCAATGCTCTGACAGGGCAGAGCAGATTAAGTCTCTCCTTATCCGCCGTCACATGAGGTGGAGGATGAAATGCTTGCAGGACCAAAGGCCATACCACATTAGATGGCACCTTGGGTAAATAGCCTGGCATCGGATGTAAGATGGCCTTAATGTTGCCTGGAGCAAACTCCAAGCACCCAGGTGAAATAGAGAGCGCCTGGAGATCTCCTACCCTCCTCAGAGAAGTAATGGCCAACAAAAAGGCCATCTTAAATGAAAGGTTCTTGGCCTCAGTCGACTCCAGTGGTTCGAAGGGGGCCTCAGCCAACCCTTCAAGAACCACTGCCAGGTCCCAAGTGGGAACCCTGGTGCGAGTCGCAGGTCTCATCCTCCAGGCTCCACAAAGGAAACGTACGACCAGGTAATGCCTCCCCAGAGGCCTATCACTCAGAGGAGCGTGGAAAGCTGCAATGGCAGCCACACAAACCTTGAGTGTGGATGGTGTAAGCCCTGCAGAAAAGCGGTTTTGGAGAAACTTCCTTGTGGAGGGAGCTTTGGAAGCGAGTATAGTTTCAACCACTTCTGCCGAAAGGCCGGCTTCTAGGTACCATCCCCCCTCAGGGGCCAGACCCAAAGTTTCTACAGCTCGGGCCGAGGGTGGAGAACTGAGCCCCCCGCCTGAGACAACAGGTCCCTCCTCAGAGGGATCTGCCATGGCGGGCCTGCCAGAAGCAGGATGATGTCCGAAAATCATACTCGGGTCGGCCAAAATGGGGCTACTAATAGTAGGCTGACCCCGTCCCGACGGACCCTTTCCAGAACTACTGGGAGCAGAACGATCGGGGGGAAAGGCGTACAGACGCTGCCTCGGCCATGTCTGCACGAGGGCATCCAACCCCAGCTGGGCTGAATGTGTGAGGGAGAACCACAGTGGACAGTGTGTTGTCTCTCGAGACGCAAATAGGTCCACTTCCACTGGGCCGAACCTCTCGCATATTAACTCCACTACCTCGGGGTGGAGTCTCCATTCCCTAGGCCTTAGCCCCTGCCTCGACAGCGGGTCTGCTCACTGGTTCTGGTCCCCTGGGACCACTGATGGGCAGCAACCCGTTAGAAGTAACGCGTTACTGTAATCCAATTACTTTTTTCTTGTAACGAGTAAAGTAAGGGATTACAATTGAAAAAACAGTAATTAGATTACCGTTACTTCCCCGTAAACAGCCTGCGTTACTGCGTTAGTTAACCGTGATTTTGTTTAGTCAGACTGTCTCGTGACATGAGTCGTGCGTGAATAAAAATGATGTATGAGCGCCGCGACATCAGTGAGAGACGACTAGAGCGCGGGAGAGAGCAGCCGAGCTGCCAACTCTCAGACACGCTCACACGACACACACCCGATTTCTCGCGCTGAAGTGTCAATCCCGTCGGTCAAATGCCTGAAAGATGTGTTTATCTATAAATCTAACCGTTGAGCCACATTTGTGATTGACTAGTTATACCGCAAATTAGTTAAAATCTCCCGGAATCTAGAGCGAGCGCGCATGCGAGACTGTGTTCCAAAGTCCAAACTTCGTATCGTGCGCACGACGAGGAGAGCGAGAGAGAGACTTGCGTACTATGCAGAGAGCATCCTGATCTGGAAACAGGACCCCCGTTGGAGAATGTCAAAATTCTACTTCAAATCTGAGCAAGCATGTCACGAAACAGTCTCACACGTAAAGCAGCAAGCCGGTACAGGAATGTGAAACTCCCCCATCTGACATGACCGCTGCGGCTACATGCTGACTGTTTAACTCTGAAAAAACAAACAAAAAAAACAACAACAAAAACTTGAAGCCAAAATACGGCATGCAACAGCATTTTCTGTTTTGATCAAGTAATTTTTACTTCTCTCTGCAATTTACTGTTAAAAGACGTAAGTGTTAATACACTGTAATATAGTCAGGAGCGACTTTCATGATTTTATTTTATTTTTACATCTATTCAAATGAAGGATTTTACAAAATATATTTATTTTATATGCTGGAAT